CCCTCCTCGGCGTAATAAATGTTGTACTTTCCCTAACATCAAGATTATTCCGAACTCCACTCCATTCACTGAGAGTGAGTGCTTAGTGTAATTAGTTCGATGGCAATGCATATGAAGTTTTGACTATTGTATTATTACTATTGGTGAATTTGGCTATTCGCTATAAAAAAATCCATAAATGAATGTGGCAAGTTTTGCAAATGATGGTATCGGAACATGAATAAGCTTATTGCCCGAAGTAACGTCGTAAAGCTTTTTCGTGAGTAACCATGCATGCTTTTGAAAATAATATCGATTATCTATTCATAATTAATATTTACTTGATGGGATGTCAAAATTGTGTTTATATACGGTAGATTTTATATATATTCACAGCATTCAGAATTATTATGTTACGTTAGGATTTTGTTATATGGCGCATTAATAGTCACATGCATTTTTAGGATTACTTCATAAGCTGAGTTAAAGTTAATAAAATTTCTTTACAGATTGTGTGTATATTTTTCATTTAGGATACATTAAATGTGGGTACAGTACAGTGGTGGACACGTACAGTAGTGAAAATTTTTAAAATTTGGACCCCGAAAATGGCATTTGCAACATTCTGAGAACATATTTTGTAAAAATCTAGGTTTTCAAAACACTGTTTTAATTAATGGTATTAAATTACAATGTTTTAATTAATGGTATATTTATATGAGTGCGATTTGTGTTATTTGGTACAAGATTTTTTACAGTCTATCAAAATTATAGATAGGGATTATTTATAACGCAGGTGTATGCCTTGAAATCGGGCGCGAGGCTTTGTGGGCAAAAATTTACCCAAGAATTTAGATTTAAAACACATTTATTTCTTTAAGTACTACAAAGTTAATAATTTTTATCTGTATATAAATATAATATTATCCACTTAAGAGTTTTGTCCCGTTTTTGTTTCTAACTTTAACCACTCCTTTGAGCCATCATTCATTTCTGTATTGTCCACGTTCTTTGCAGATTTTGTATTTGATTTCATTCTCTTCCTGGAGGATTTTGGTTGACGAATGGGTATATTCTTTATCCCGCTTTTATTCCACTTCGACTGCTTTTTGCTGTTCCCAATTAATCTGTACAACTCTGTTAAAGCATTTTCTAAGTCTAAAGCTGTTGGCTTAGCACGAGTAAGATAAGGTTGTCTTTCTTGGGACGAAAGTTCATGGACGTCTACCAAATGGTTTGCCATTCTTTCTAAAGCTCGCTTGCCGCAGATGGGATAATCTTTACACTTCCGAGGCATATAATGTCAAATGATTGAAATGTCAACTGATTCCTAGCATTAAATAGTTGTGGCCCAAAGGCCTTTTTGAAGGTTTTCCGGGACTTGGGAGAAGGATAGAGAAATGGGTTAGGGGAAAATAGCTACCACACAGGATCGTATTTTATTTTACTTTTATAAATCAAACACAAACAACCATTAAGAATCAATGTCACTAGGATACCGTGTGTTTCTGAAAAGTCTTTTCAAAAGAAATTTTCTCTTGTCAATAGCGGCCCCTAACGCTTCCCTGTGGTCGAAATTATCATCGTTGACAAAGACATCCCTGGTGTCCATAATCTTTTTGTGTATTGGATCTCTCTTTAGTTGTCTTATCCATAGCAGACGTTCCAAATAAATATTCTGTAAATCTTTACGAAGTTTTGGTAGGATAAGTAAATATGCCTTGTCTTTAGCTTCGTTTTCGTCAAAACCTTCTGCAGTGAAATTCTGCGTTAGTTCTTCGAATTCCGATAAACTTTGTTGGGTTGCTTCAGCTTTTAAAGGAGCCCATGGATCGCTTTCGTATTCATCACCTACTTCACTACTAGTATCATCGACATTATCAGAATCACTCTCTGACGCAGAATCAGTTTCCACTTCGTTGTCAGTGTTATACGAATTCTCAACATCACTCTCTGATGTAGCACTATCAGAGTCTGCAACCGTTCTCATTCTTTTCATCTTAATTTACACTGAAATCTGTAGTAGATTTCCAACAGTACTGTATTTCCTTCGTATATTGTTAGGTTGAAACAACTCCAACCACAACCAACCGGCAAATGATCAATTTTTTGAACAACATCACATTTTATGAAGTTACCTTAAGGGACTTTTCTATGGCCTTGTGTCCCGATTGGTGATTGGCTGGGGCACTTCCCACCAAGGCTTCCCACCAATAGGATTCTAGAGAATCGGGCCACAAGGCCATAAAAAAGGACCTTGGGGCCAATGCGAAAAGTGGCCCCAAGGGCCTTTTTTAGGGTCTTGTGGCCCGATTGATGATTGGTTGGGATTGGTCACTTTTCGCATTGGCCCCAAGGGCCTTTTCTACGGCCTTGTGGCCCGATTGGCTGGGATACTTCCCACCAAGAGGGTTCTAGAGAATCGTGCCACAAAGCCATAAAGGCTTTGAGACCCAGTCAAGCCCATCAATCGTCAATCAATGGCGGATAAGGCCATACTAGGCCCGCATGAAACACATGAGTCAAACACGGTATCCTGTTATTCCTCAGGACGTCACGCGAAGACATCAACATTGGGGGGCGAGAGGTCGATGTTTTGACCAACATTTCCTAGGATTTTGACCAAGTCGTAAAAAATTTTCCTGAAAATGGGGGGGGGGGAGGTCAAAAAATATTTTCAGGACTAACATAAGCAAATTCAAAATTTTTCAACCAAGATAGGCAAGGCGTCCAATTTTTTCACCGCAAACATAACAAAAGCTTTAAAATTGTTAAAATTGCGAACCATTTCATAACTTTGGGCAACTTCGACCATCTTTTATCCCAAACTTTGACCAAATTTTTCCGAGTTTTACCTTCAATTTTAAGCAAATATCAGTTCCATTTTGACCAACTTTGGGCAAATATCACTTCCATATTGACCACCTTTGACCAACGTTTGAATTATTGGGGGGAGGGGGTGTTACACCCCCACCTCCCTATAGCGACGTCCTTGCATTGACTCTTATCGTTGTTTGTGTTTGATTTATGAAAGTAAAATAAAATACAATCCTGTGTGGTAGCTATTTTCCCCTAACCCATTTCTCTAACCCTCTCCCAAGTCCCGGCAAACCTTCAAAAAGGCCTTTGGACATTTATCATTTGACATTATATGCCTCGGAAGTGTAAAGATTGTCTCATCTGCGGCAAGCGAGCTTTAAAAAGATTGGCAAAACATTTGGCAGACGCCCATTAACGTTCGTCCCAAGAAAGACAACCTTATCTTATTCGTGCTAAACCGACAGCTTTAGACTTAGAAAATGCTTTAACAGAGTTGTACAGATTAATTGTGAACAGTAAAAAGCAGTCAAAGTGGAATAAAAGCGGGATGAAGAATGTACCCATTCGTCAACCAAAATCCTCCAGGAAGAGAACAAACTCAAATACAAAATCTGCAAAGAACGTGGACAATACAGAAATGAATGATGGCTCAAAGGAGTGGTTAAAGTTAGAAACAAAAACGGGACAAAACTCTTAAGTGGATAATATATTTATACTGACAAAAATTATTAACTTTGTGGTACTTAAAGAAATAAGTGTGTTTTAAATCTAAATTCTTGTGTAAATTTTTGCCCACAAAGCCTCGCGCCCGATTTTAAGGATGCACCTGCGTTATAAATAATCCCTATCTATCCAATTGGGACACACATAGTTATGCAGATTTTTGTTCGCCTAATCCGTTAATTACTTGCACGCCTCCTAATGACTTAGCAACACATAGCAATCAATGTATATAACGACCGCATAGTTGATAAAAACATATTTGTTTTTTTATGGCAAAATATATTACAAACTGTTCTAAAAGTTTTTTCTCCAAATGCTTTCTTATGATCAGACGCTTGAATCGTTCATCTTAACAGTAAAAATATGTATACAGGAGGTTTGCTAAATAATGCTACAGCGACCAACTGTAATGGGTCTTCTTGTTCCCAATACCACAGTTCATGACTCTCAATTGTAGTTCATGACTCTCAATTCGATAAAAGATTGTGCTTGGATCAAATGGTTTAAAATTTATCAAAAGTATGGACATATCTCAAGATGTTTTTGTACCTAGGGACGCTAAAAAATGTCTAGTCAGCAAGTTTCGTCCGAACATGCCCGCGTGACGTCATTGCGTATAATTATAACGTATTGTATACTATTGAGCGACGTCACTACGCACCCTCAATAGCTGTTATCGTAATTGAATACGCCGCTGCGGCGAACCAGAGGTATCTCAATAGAAGTACGCACGAAAACGAGGCTAAAGGGTCAAAAAACACAAAACATGACCCTATAGCCTCGTCTCGATGTTAAAATAATGCAGATACCGCTGGTCCGTAGCATAGACGTATTCAATTACGATAACAGCTATTGTGAGGGTGCGTAGTGACGTCAATGAGGTGGTGGACATCCACCACCTCAAACTCCACCACCTCACACTCCTTCACTCTCCTCCTTACTCGTCCTCACACCCCCTCATTCCTCCTCACTCGTCCTCACTCGTCCTCACTCCTCGTTACTCCTCCTCAGTCCTCCTCACTCCTCCTCCTCGTCAAAAAAGGGGATCGAACGGTACCTATATTACTACTCACTCGGCTACGCCTCGTGTTTACACGGCTTCTCTCGTATTCTCCCAACATTCCCCCCATGCATTATCACGCAATAAACGCACGCCACTCGTTTTCTATTTCTTAATTTTACAATTATAGCAGTTCAAAATGTAAACAAAGCTTTTGTTTACATTTCGGACTTTACAGCATCTTTAATAAGTCAATATTTTGTATACATCCTGTCAATATTTTACGCATCTTTACGTTCAGCTTAGTGCTAGGGCATTCAAATTAAGTTTAACAATAAGTTATTTCGATGGCATATTTTTAGCATATCACTTGAGCCCTTCCGTAACTTCAGTAACGCCTGTTTTCCAGGGGCTGCGCTACACCCCCCCCCCCCCCC